ATATTTGCTTTTAGAGAGAGTTACTCAGCTACTACTTTAGCCGTTTGTAGAATGAAGCATTGTTATCAGATGACACTTTAGTATAGCAGCACTCATGCTTAACACTGATAGTTGTGTACATACACAAGAACGTGTAGTCTTTTTTTCTTCCTAGTGGTTTAAAACAAAACAAACAAAAAAAAGAAAGCAAAGTATAACAGCCAAAGATAGAACAGGAATCTTTCTGCAGTGCACAGATGTTAATAAGTGGATATTCGACATGATACATTATAATGGTGCTAAAGGAGCCATTATGATTTATTGAGTCAATCTGTAGTATGGAGACATTAATAAGCGGATCTTATCTTATTAAGTGGAACATGTTGTTCCGCTGCATGGGCATCCCCAGCATCTGCCACCCTTACTCGCCCAATCTTCCTGTCATGTTTTGCATGCCACAGACACAGCTCTCATTTCAAGGTTGTACCAAGCTGGCCAGACCCACAGGCTGCAAAGACACCAGAAGAGCAGCAAAGAGAATCCAGCCATTTTGCTAAAGCAGCTGGGGGAGCGGGGCTGCTGCAGAGAAACCCAAGGAGAGCTAGCACATCAGATAAATTAGGCTAAAGGCATCTTGATTTGAAGCATGTTGCTGAATACACCTCTCTACTTCAGCTGAAATTCTAACTGCACTATTAAGGTAATTTATTACACTCATTAAGTACTACAATTGGAGACCCTGTCTACAGTAACTAGTTTTATACACTTTAAAAATGTTAGCAAGTCACCCCATTACATCTTAGTCATGAGACTAATGCAGATTACTTATTACTTCTCTTGGCAATCACATAACACTTGTCCTGAGAATGAAAGATGATGCCTTGACAATAATACACTATAATGTAATAACCTTTCACATGTTATAAAGTGCAGCACTTTTTCTTCTGAGGATCACTAAGTGCTGGGCAGGCATGCATTAATACAGCCTCGCCAGACCCCGGTGACACAGCCATCCCCATTTAAAATTCAGCCACCATGCTAATGTCCCCGTGTGTCTCTGCACACCACCCATCTCCACTGCTGCATTCAGCACGGCCCTCTGAAATAGCATCGCTTCTAGTCTCTCCCTCCTATTTGTGATAGCACATATCTGCAGGCACAGGATATCTGCTGAAATATTAATGAAGAGAGAAGTAAGTGTTGTTTTAATATTCTCCAGGCCAGTAACCTGAAGTATAGAGCAGTTACCTGATCTGCCCAGGGCCACTCAGCAGCTGCGTAAGAAATGGGAATAAAACCTAGAAGTTGTGGTTCTGCTCAAAACAGACCTCCCTTGGGGTCCCTGTGAGAGCCTGCAATTCAAATGCAGAAGTAATTGCTAAATAATTAGTAACCTACACAATTACTTCCATGCATCCATCAGTATTTTATGCCCTGAAGGATCAGTCAATAAATGCCTGAGATTACAATTATCATGGTTTCCTATCCACTAGAAGGCCTAGATAATGTGCAGTCTAATAAGATTTTTCCTTCCTAATGAGTATTGTCAATGGGAATTACTAACTGGCTTGAGCGTGTTGCGTGCAGCTTTACCAGCATGCACATGGTGCAAAACCCACCAATGCTGGTGCAGCATCGCAGCTTTGGGCAGGTCTTCCAGGATTTCAGCTCCAGCTCCTGGATTCATGGGATCAACATGTAGCTTTCATTAGGGGAAAAAAGAACAACTTTATAGGCTTTATGGTTAAAAAGCAGCATGTTAAAACTGGAACTGAAAACCTCAGGAATTAAGGCTTTCAAACATCCCCTCCCACCTGAGCAGGATTTTGGGTGCGGAACACACCGGAGAGGTGACAGGTGACCAGACAAGCAGTTGCCATGCCCGCTCTGCATTCACCGGGATGTGAATCAAAAACTGCCCAGAGGAACCTATTTGCAGCGCACCAGAAGAAATAATAATGACACATTATGCAGCCCAGTAGGTAGGCAACACCTTTTTTGTCCTATTCAGCTTGCAGTTTCTTGCTTTGCAATTAAAGCACTTTCAAAACCCAGGTTTTTCTTTTAAAACCTGATACACACTCCTACTCTTTTATGGTTTCCAACTGTTTGCTTCTGCATGTTCTTTATTCTTTCCAAATCAATAGTATCCGTATCAGCATCAAAGTCCTGTGTATTGCCACTCTTATGATGGCTCCCTGTTTCTTAATCTTTCTCCCCAGTTCTCTTCAGTAACTGTTACTAAACAAATGCTTGTTCTCCTGCAAGGCTTTTCCCAACGACAGTGCCAGTATCTGGGTGGCCTTATGCCCTCCAGAGGCAAACAAATGTCGTCCAGTAATGCCAGAACTTTATCCTGATCATTTGGGTCAGACTTCCTCTCCAGCTGCTGAAACACAGCACAAAAACACAGAGCATACATCCATCTCTCCCCGCCCCCTCCTTCAGATTCTTAGAAATTAAGGGCCAGAAGGCACCTTGGGACCACCCTGACCCCAAACCACCAGCCTGCATGAGCTTGTGGCTGCTGGGCACGTGAAAACTTCCCCATTCGACATCACTACTCTCCATTTCATAGCATTCCCCTTCCTTCATCTCTAAATCACCTAATTACACTGTAATAAAAAGCAACCCTATTTTTGCAACTGTGTGATTCCTACTCTGTACAATAGGTGGCATTACTAATAATAAAAGCCATGCATTAAAGGTATTATTTTATTGCTCTCCAGAGAGAAATAGAAGATTGTTTCCTTTTGTTGGGTTCCATCCCTCTGGTTTAGAATAAGCCATCACTGGCAGGGTCAAAAATATAATCAACTTCATCGTGATGGTACATTTTTCAAAAAAGAAAAAAAAAAAAGGCGGCAGCAAAATACAGCATAAAACAAATGATAATTAAAGTAATCTAAGACTATAAAGCTGGGCAATAACAAAGACTTGGACATTAGAAGTCTAACTTACTTTGTGGTCTGGGTTTTTTGGCGGATTGTTTTTTTTTAATAGACAAAAATGCTGGTGATTGCAGCACTGAGTCTGAATCACACCATCTTCCAAGATCTAATCAAGATCAGCACTGTCTTGATCAATACAGTTGTAAAATAAGTTTTCCAAAAATAAGTACAACAAAGCCGTTAAAGAAATCTCGGAAGGCAGCAAAATCATTTCTTGAAGCTGTAAGTGAAAAATTAACTTTATTTATTTCACATTACAATCAAATAGTAATGTGTCTTGATGCGTATGTGCACACATGCATCATCATTATTTGCTTTATTCTTATTGATTTTTAGTTCCATGGGCCGGCTCTCCAGAACCACTATGCACCAGCATCACTGATGTCAACGGGGAAAGAGGCTTCTCAGCACTTCTGACAAATTATTCCTTTAAAGTTCAGACACTTCTATCACCCACAGAAATGAAATATGCATTAGACTTCTGAGAAATCAACCTCATCTTCAGCTACTCAAAAGAGCAACCCATGAAATCTAAACAGTTTAGCTGCTACTGCATATAATCACATAAGCAATGAAATGACCATGTTATAACTGTCCCAGATGGGTACAGCATCTCCTGAAAACTAATTCCCAGCAAGTCCCAGGAGCCAGCTTACAGCCAGTTACCCATTTTGTCTTTCCAAGTGGAAAGGTCACCAGAACAAATACGATCAGGAAGTAATGGCGAGGCAGTTCAGCTGATCTATTTCGAGCACCATGACAAAGAAAACTAATTTAGTGTTATAATTAGAAACATGGAGAGGAAAAAGCTCATTTTGGAGAAGTGCTGCTGCTGGAACGTTAGCATTGGTGCTGATGGAGCTAATCAGCTCTGAGAGGTGGAAGAATGAAACCAAACTATACATTTAGCATCTTCATGCAAACCAGGTTTGACACTGCAATTGTCTGCAGTTGGGAATAAGTGCAAGGCTGAAAGGTGACCTTACAGAGAGTTTTCAAAGAAGCAGACTAAACAAACAGTGTTTCAGGACTTTTTTTTAGAGCTTGAAAACCAAAACCACATGTCACAATCTTTTTTGTTCATATTTGATGACTACTTTTCAAAGACTATCAGCTATTTGCGTGTAGTTCATGGTTTTAAATGTATTTCATGTTACATATTAACGGCTGGAAGAATAATGTTTTTTCAACTTCTTGTAATTACAACAAGACCCATTTAACTTCTTGCAAATGGAAATATGACATGAATGAACTGAAGTACACTGGAAGGACTTTCAAACCTGTAACGTATTTCTTTTCATTGTCTTCTCAAGAGGTACATTTGAATGTTCTCCAGGGGGGAAATAAATAAATAAATAAATAGCCACTCCAAAAGGAGTTTTCAATTTAAAGGAGATAGAGACTGCAGGCTTAGTTACACAAATCCTATTGTGTACCTAAATATGGCCAATTTGCCTTGCATTTTCTTGGAATTCAAAGCTACCTTTTTCCTGCTTTCACCCTAGTGACATTTCAGTTCTCCTTGGCTGTCTCAGTGCTGTTGTTTGTAAAGCTGCTCTGTAAAAAGGGTCAACACAATGACCCAAGTTAGAAGTAATTATCCAAGAGTAAAGAAGAAGAAAAAAGGCCAAAAGCAGTGCACCATGTAGCTGCATAGTGAGACACAATTGGGTGATGAAGGATGTGTATTTAGGGAAGATGAAGGGAAAGCGAGACAGCAGGAGGGAAGAAAAAGTGAACAAGGAGATGGGCTATAGCAGATACACAGAAAAGATGCATTTTCATTCACTGCCAAGCTGTCTTCCCTCCGTATTTCTTTACCGGATTTCATACTGGATTTTCCTGGCGTACAGATGTTAATCTTTTGAGGTAGTTAACTTGAAGGGAAAAGACAAAAGCACAGCAATATTGGAATTTCTTCTCTCAGGGTACACAGAGAAAAGGGAAGTAGAGCACTAGGATGGAAAGTGAGGTCCTAACTCGAGCTGGTTAAGACAAGCGTGGGTTTTGCAAGCCTGGTGTCCTACGACGGTTATTTGAAGTGCTTTTTCACTGCCCGCAGCTCCATACCTTCGTAAGTTCCTACTTCCAGAAGGGTCCCACTTCGCTCCAACTCCAGAAACTCCTCCACAGTCAGAAAGTTATAATCCACACCAGGCACTTCTCCTTCTCTTGGAGGACGGGTTGTGCCTGAAAGGAAAAATTAGCATGTTAATATAGTTGTTTTCTTACCAAGACTTAAAAGGGACAATAAAAAATGATCATAAAGATCCAACAGTATCTCTAAAATACAATTCGGTGAGCTACACACAGAGCAGTGTCAAAAGTTCAGCTAGAAGTTAGGAGTCCACATAAAAACAAGACAAGACATAGATCACAGGTTGAGCTGGCGGTACCAGTTGTTCCACCCCCAACAACGTTTTTGATATTCCCAGAAAGTCTCTCTGGCAAAGAAATCTCTCATATCACACGCAGAAACACAGCTGGAATAGTTTGGTATCTGGGAATATGCCAGCAACTACCTTCCTGCCATTAGCACAGTCTGTCATACTTCAACTTCACTAAAATTGCAATCTGTATTCTCGGATAAGGCAACTTCTTTCTAGCTTCCACTATTTCTGTATCACTTTATCTCACCAAATATTCTTTCACATCATAAAGATCTTTTCTCCCTTATTTCTTCTTAATATTTTATCTCTATTTATGCTATTAGTTTTTATTCAATGTTAAAAAGTACCGCGAGACAATTTTGATGCACTGTTCACGCATGCTCACTAAAGAGACAACCTGCAAACTCTTCTCATGGAAGTTCACCTATAAGCTCGTTCCAGTTCAAGAAATACTTTTTCTTTTGAGTAATAATTCACACTGAATCCCTCTCTAGCACTCAACAATTTAAACAGTACCCATGGAGAACGGGGCTCTGATCGCTGCTGCTCTGCCAGCTCTGAAACCCTTCTCCCTTCTGACCAATTTACAGCCCTTTGAAGCATGGTATAAGATGAGTCATTTCATGACTTTTTGCTAAGATGGCTTGGGCCACTGCATTTTAGGTCACTGAGCACAGCTTAATTGATTAGGATCAATTTCTGTTCGCTAGCCTTTATTTTCCACGACTCCGGAGGCTAGGAGATGGCTGGATTCTGTACATCTGAGATTAAATATAAATGACAGATTTACAGATGGTACAGGAACCTGAACTTTAGAAGAAAGAGCAGCGTTAGAGAGTTGGAGGTGTCCGAGTGCTGTGGCCGCAACCAATCTGCTGGCTTGGGAATAATACCTTTAGAGATATGGAAACCATACCTAACATTTAATGAAGCGTGATTCCTCACTTCTGTGGGACTCTTCCGGCCCCTGGGCAGTGCCTTCTCAGTGCATACAATTTCTTAAACCCTCTATAAAAGGACAGAAGAAAGTATAAAGAAGCTGAGCTTCTGGAAACTAATTGGGAAGATTCCAGCTCTCAGAAGTTGAAAGAGCATAAATTTACCATGCCTGCATCTGGCAAATGTTTTCCTCAAGTGCCAGGGAAGCGGAAAGTCTGCTTATGCCCTATTCATCTGAGAGACTGTTCAAGAGGTCAGTCTTGACAGAGTGATACCCTTGAAAGACTATCACTAATTTCCTTGATAGACATCCACTTTCTCTAACATCCTCCATTTCTTGTTTCAAAATAGAAACTCTCTCTTTTTTTATTATTTACCATCAGCCTTCAGATAGTCTATAAATTCCTGTGCTTTTTCTATCATTACTTCTCTTGGAGCTGTGTGAATGGGTGAAGGCAGGAGGAGGAAAAGCAAAAAGGGGATGGAAATGATGATGGCTATCTTCACCCTACTAGCAGAATTACTCTTTCCTATTTGAAAGGATTCAATTTTGCATTCTTTGTATTCTTGAATCCTTACAGTTAGACTACAATGGTTTTTACCACGTAGTTTGTAACAGAGGACAGATGTCTTTCACAGATCTAGACCAGAGAAATACTGGAACTGCACCACATGCCTCGCTCTGCCTGAGCGTCTGCATTTCTATCTAAAGGCAGGCAGCGAGGCTGAGCGGGCAATGCCCACGCAGGTCCCTCCCTGGCATGCAAGGCGCATGCAGGCACCCAGGATGAAGTGGCACAGCTTGGACGCAGCACCTCCTCCCTGAGCATCAACATCGCTGTGGATGTTCAGGCTGTGAGGACCCTCGCCAGGGCATCGTGGCTCTTACCCCCTGCCAGGTTCCCCTAAACCAGGCCCACGAGAGGTAAGGAGGAAGAATGAAAAGCTTCAGCAATAAGTATGTCCAAGGATGTGCTGGAGCTGTCCCATGCCTGGAGCACAATGGAAGTGAGAATTAAACTCTGTAGTGCTCCTTGTCCAATGCATCAGTCAAACATCACCCTGAGCCATGCGGCACGCGAGCCGAATGACAAAGATTGGGACATACTTTTTCCCAGTAACTGACAACACGCATTCATGAGACACAAAGATCGGGGGACTTCAGGATTCATTTTACTTTATCTTTTAAAGCCGCCTTCTTTTCTTTATCTATATCTTCCCACAGAAAGTATTTATTAATCCTTTTTTTTCCTTCTGAATTTTTATAGCAGTGAAATTGCAGTCAGCAGTTTACTAGTGCTGGCTGCCTATTTGACATGACAATTATATCTCTGCCATAATTCCTCCTAGCCATTTTAATGGATCTATTTGTTTCATCTCAGTGTTCTTAATTTCCTGAATATGTTCAAGGCGAAAAATCGCAGATGTGCTTGCTATCAGCACGATTGCCTGCAACACACGCCGAATGCATTAGAAACACCAAGTCACCGCGTAAAAGAAAAACATTACATCACAGAGATAACATTTGTCACCTCGCGTCGGTCTCCAGCAACAAACAGGGGGAAAATAAAAACTACACTGGTTAGGATATCTTATCTGGGTGAAGGCGAAAAACCCAACAAGTTTCCATGTTGCTGTCTAGAGCAAAGATGGCTTGCAGATGCTCGGGCTGTTATCCTGCTTCACATCTGAGCAAGTGTTAGTGAATGCAATTCAGAAAGGCAGGGGAAAGGGAAAACCCGCCTCCATTTTTCTTGTAGCTGAATGACAGGCTGCCGGCTGGACACACGCCTGGCAGATGGCATTTCAAAGAGTTTTCATGAACCATCTGGGATGTGTACAATGATTACAAACCACACTTACAACAAAGCCAGAAGGGTTGCTTCACAAGGGGGTGGGGGGAGAGGGCGGGCGGAAAGAAAGGGGGAAAGAAAAGAAAACCAAGAGGCGCGTAAGCAAACTTTATGACTTTTCTCAGGCACATGACGCTAAGAATAATCAGCACCTTCCACCCCGAGCCCTTCCACAGCCTGAAACAACTGCTCGACTACTGTGCAGCATGTGTGTGCACAGCCCAGCACCATCGCAGGCTGCAAGCTACCGTTGGAGCTTTCTGCTGATAAACTCCAAATTGTAATTAAGCCTCCCATCATTAATGTGACTTAATTATGTACAAAGCATAGTGTGTGGGTGTGTCCTCCCTCCCCCTTTAAATTGCATTTCAGCATCCTTAACACAGGATGGTCATCACTGAAGGAGAGGGCTATGGAGATGACTGTACATTTTAGCAGAGCTAATAGCAGATCAGACCACTGCTAATGGCAGAATTAATTGAGCACAATGAGTGCTGTAGACGGCCCAAACAGGAGTTAAGATACTCCACTAGAACAGGCGAGCCAATCATATTTAAATGTGTTAACCTGCCTGCCATGTTTGCACTGAAATATTAAGTGGCATCAAATCTTATTGCCATTAGATAGCAATTTAACTAATTAATTTGAGCTATGTCCCACTGCGTGACTAGCTCAGATTTGCTAATGCTGCAACAAGAAGGAACTGGAGGAGCAACCGAGTGGTTACCGACTCCTTCTGCACATTTAATGGTTCATAAACTTTCACTATTATTTGGCTAGAATGTCCCACAACGTATAGAACTAGTTAGAGACATTAAATTCACAGGGGAATTGCTCAAACCTTTGGCAACCACAGCAGACTTAAGAAAATAAATAAATAAAAATAAGGTGAGCATTGCAGGTCTTACCTTCTCTCTTGGTCTGGGGAGGTAAAACTACATATAACATGGGTGGCTCAGATGCTAGGTGAAACGTTTGCCCGGCTGTTGGTTTGGTTATCACATCCAAGCTAGCTGCATCCTAGTTTATTCATGCACCACTAATGCTTGGGCCATAGAAGAGGGATCTCATCATGGGCTGGACACCCCACCCGAGAAATTGCTTACAGACACAGGTGAGTTTGCCCACGCAGAGCCCAGTGCTGTACTTAAGCTAACTAAATTAAAGTTTGTCATCCATGCCTAGAATAACTGGACTGTGGCTCAGATGTACTGATCACTATCAACTATTATTCTGAATAATTTAAGTGCCCATTTAAAAGACAAATAGCTGCTGCTGTTGTGTTGCCTATCAACCATGCTGACAATTACCCAACATGAGCCGCAATTATAGTATGGCCAGATTGTTAATATGTGATTCAGGGGCTGTTTAGCTCCTTATCAATCTACCAGGGCCTCGTGTTAAGCTGTTAATAGCCACTGATGCCCTGCTGCTAAATTAATCAGAATCTTTGCTTATTGTAAAGACTTCAAAGGGGCCGTAGTCACTTCAATTACTTTCTTGTTAAAACAAAACAAAAAAACAGTTCCTGAGCAGTAATTCTGTTACCATGCACCAAAACAGCCCCTAGCAAGTCATTTAGAAGTTGACTTCTCAAGCGCAGAACACCTACACATCGCCCATTTGCAAAGCAATGATTTCTGCAAACGCCTTATCCAATTCCACTGTCTGGCAATGATAATCTGGTGAGCCACCAAAATATAGCTGATCAAGCCACAACTCATTTGCTTCTCATCCGCACTGACCAGCTTCTCTTAAAATGACAGATAATGCGGGAGTTGTACACTCAGAGTAATGATATAGTTGCTACAACCATATTTTATACAAACTCAAGTCACTGGTGGTTACCACAGGTGAATGGAACTGTAGCAAATAAGGTTTTAACGTGAAGCGTACAGGGATGCTACCGACTCACGAAGCTGCAACGCCAAGCACTGTTGTGGGGGTTTGCTGAGAGGCTGTTTGCAGGCGGGTTAGAAGGAAGGATGCTGTTCTTGCCATTGCTCTT